AAGGGGAGGAGGGGAGGGAAAGGGAACTGGGATTGACATGTAAAACAAGATTGTTTCTAATTTAAATTTAAAAAAAAGAGGAGAGAAAAGAGCCATCAGGCCAGACCTCCCCACCCACTTCCAGAGACAGCTGTAATTGTAGAGCTGAACCTGCAAATATGCTCTTAAACAGAGGAGCAGCGTGTGACAGCAGAGCATTTTACTGGCATTAACACCAATAGGAAAACTCATCAGAAACATAAAACAATGGCTTCTAAATGGTAGAGCATGAACCTGATGCCATTTGCAATTAAACATGGTACAGGGCAGAGAAATGAAGACCCTTCTATCCCCCAACCAAGTCCCCTTAAGTGACAGTGACATGGATGCCAGTCACATTACTGGAGATGGCTAAGTCTACCCTGATGAGACACAGAACCACACACACACCCTACGATGTGGATGGCGCATGGAGGGGGAACAAGCATGTCCAAGTGTGAGGTCCTCATAATGCATGTGCTGGTTAGTGTTTTGTCAACTTGATGTAACTAAGTCACCTGAGAAGAGAAAACCTTGACTTAGAGAATGCCCCTGCCAGATTGGCCTGTATTCGAGTGTGTAGAGGGCATTTTCTTACATGATATGAGAAGGCTCAACCCACTGTGAGGAGTGCTAACCCCTGGGGAGGTGGTCCTGGGTTGTATTAGAAAGCAGGCTGAGCAAGCCAGTGAGCAGTATTCTTCCATGGGCTCTGCTTCAGTTCCTGTCTCCAGGTTCCTGCCTCGAGTTCCCTTCATGATCAACCATTATTAAGATGTGTAAGTCAAATAAGCCCTTTCCTCCCACAAGCTGATTTTGGTTGTGGTATTTTATTCCAGCAACAGAAACAGACTAGAGCAAGGGGAAACTGACATTGGCCCTGCCGGCTGGCAGTTGGAACCACTGAATGCAAATTCTATATGGAGAACTCTGTAAAAATGCTTAAACAAATGGTTGCATCACCCAGTGAGATAAGAAAGGAGCAAACGTAAAACCAAGCGTTTGCTTTTTGTAATGAGTTTAATTGTTCAAAGGTTATCTGTAGAAAAACTAGACGTCTAACTTTAAATGATTCCCAGAGAACTGGAGTTTGAAGTTTATGAAGGAAAAACAAATAATATTAAAGGTCATAGATTTCAACTTACCAAGCAGATAATCGTTTCTCCGTCTATAGGATCTTGGCATGTCCCCAAAAATCATCTAAAGATGTTTAAATATCAGGATGAAAGAGAAAGCTGTAAATGCTACATAGAGGACTCAGATATGTAATGCATCCAGTAAAATAAAGACAGCTCTCTGTGGTACCTAATGTGTGTATTCAAGAGAACACAGTAAGAAGCTGGGAAGATGGCTCAGTGGTTAAGAGCACCACTGCTCTTCCAGAGGACCTGGGTTCAATTCCCAGCATCCACATGGCAGCTTAAAACCATCTGGAACTCCAATCCCAGAAGATCTGATGCCCTCTTCTGACTTCCTCAAGCTCCAGGCACACATGTTGTACACAGACATACATGCAGACAAAATACCCACTTACATGAAATAAATAAACAAATTAATTAATTAAAATAGTTTAGGATGATGCATGCCTGGATCCAAGCAATCAAATGGCAGAGACAGGGAGGTTGTGAGTTCAAGACAACCCTGGGCTGTAAAGTGAGACCTTGCCCTACCCACAAAGAAAAGAAATGACAGAAGCAAGGAAGGAAAGAAGGCAAGAGAAAGGGAGGGAGGGGCAGGAAATCACATGGAGAAGAGTAAGTTATATGAAATTTAAGTTGAAGCCAAAGCTTTCACTGACCCAGGATTTGCTTCTAAACACTGTGGAGCAGAAATGGAACTTTATTATTAGACCAAGTTTAGGTCAAAAGATTTAGAGGAAATGTCTCTATGAGAATTCTAATTGACATTCATGAGATCAAAAGGGCCCCAAGTAGTTTGTATAAAATGCCAAAATCCACAAATAGTCAAGAAGGGAAGTCTCCCGCCTTTCTGCCTGCCAGATACTTCTCCATCCTCAATAGCCACCATGAGGCTCTGGCTCCCATCATGGGAACAGATTAAGGGGTGAGGACTTAACAATTCAATGCAGTGAGCAATGTTAGGACAAGCAGAAACCACATAAAGAAGAACAGTATTGGACCATTCCTCCATACTATGTATAAAAACTAAATCAGAGTAGATCATCAGTGGAAGACCTAAGTGTGTGTAAGTGTTCACAAACAATAAAAGAGAAAGAAATTGGATGGAGCAAAAGGCTTCACAGGGTGGGGGTGGCATGAAAAGTGAGAGGAAATAGTCACCAAGAGTCCATAATAAAAAGATAACTAGAAAACAGGAATTGACATTGCAAATGGCAGTCATGAGAAAATGCAAATGAAACCATAACAAAGTAGGTCTTTGTACATTATAAATGGCTAAAATAGAGACAGGCAGGAACCAATGTTGGTGAGAAGGCGTAGAAACAGATGCTTTCAGCCAGCTAGGGTGGTGCTTGACTGCAATCCCAACACTTGGGAGGCTGAGACAGGTGGATCGCTGTGAGTTCAAGGACAACCTTGGCTACATACTAAAGCCATCCTGGGCTACATAGCAAGAGCCTATCTCAATAAAAAAGAAAAAGAGAGAAAGAGAGGGAGAGAGAGGGGGGAAGAGGGAAAGAGAGAGAGAGAGAGAGAGAGAGAGAGAGAGAGAGATCTGGAGAATTCTGACTCAGACTGACTGGCTGGTTAATTTTGGTGATTGTGTGGAGCTCAAAAGTTTCAGGTTTCAACCAAATTCTCTTGGGCTCTCTTAGCCCCCAGTAGCCTTTTATTGCCCCTCTATCTGAATAGCCTAACATTCTTGAGATCATCAAGTCAAATCCTTTTGGGAGCGTACAGATCCCTAGGTCCTAGCAACCCCAAAGCTAAAAGTGACATCCAACACATCTGAGGCCTCTAGCAGTTGCCCCTCTTTGATGTGACCTACATGAAATTTCCACAATCTTATCAAAATCCCTTGATTGGATACTTTATTTGTTCTGCTCCTATAAAAACATTAACTAAAAAGCGAACTATCACGCTGGGACATAACATTTGGGGTCCATTGAATCTGTGCTCCCAGGCCATGGTCGCTCATATTTAGCTCCCAAACAAACTATATTTTATTTCCTTTGAGGTAAGAGCTGTGTTGCTGTATTTTGTGTCAAGGGAGTAGGGAGTAGGAAGTAGGATTATGGAGAATGAGTCAGTAGTTGTTCATGGGAGAATCCCTCTGCATGAGCAGAATTCTGTCTACTGGCATCTGGATGATGACCCCGCTATCCCATCAAATAACTGAGCTTTCACAGACCATCCCCAGGCCCAGCTGTAAGGAAACAGCCCTCCCTCATACCTCTTCACTGCTGTTGGACTCAGATGTGGAGGCCCAGCGGCAGTGAGCCCATACATCCTGTACCTGTCCCTTGGACATCTGCACGGTGCTCCTGCAAGCAGCTGTTGGCTGGCAAAGACAGAGTCGTGAGTTGCTTCTTCAGCACCCTGTGGGAGGAGTTAGCCTCTGGACAATAAACTGGGAAATACTGCAGGGTACTCACAGAGGCCATTCCGTTTTCCAAAGTTAACACTCAACGGAACTCAACAGGGATAAAAAGGAATGTTTAAATATCTCCACAGTTTTAATACTAGTCTCCAAGAAAAGTCTGCCATCCCTCGTGAATACAAAGGACTGTCTGAAATTTATTCTTGCTTTAACAGAAACAAGTGGTAGAGATGCCATACATTTGACTATATGGCATATACATACATACATGGATGTATATGTCTCTGTGTGTATGTATATGCCGTGTGTGTGTGTGTGTGTGTGTGTGTGTGTGTGTGTGTGTGTGTGTGTGTGTGTGTATAAGTCACTTGGCCCTAAGATTTAATTAGAAGTGCATGCATGTGACAGTCCTCTGCAAGACACAACCCCATTGAAGTTTCATGAGATAAATAACAAAATAATGACCTCTGTAATGAGGTCTCAGGAAGTCACTCATTTGGCTGAAAACATTTTGGGTCTGGACTGATGGTTCCATACTGGTTAGAGAGGGTTCCATACCACAACAGCTGACTATTCCGGTCACAGGGAAAGGAGAACTAAATAGGCCATATGACCTCAATGAGAAGGGGAGGCACGCTGTGGGCAACACTGTCATGGGCAGTGCGCCAAGGTGAGGCTCACAGTTTCACACTCAGGTTGAGCAGAGTTTCAAGTGTGCTGGGACTTCTCTTCGCTCTAGGCCTCTTTGCACCCACTCTGCCTGATAGAACTGTCCCCACCAGGTGAGACTGATATGATACCTACTGGATATTTCATCTGTACTTTAGAGAACAGGACACTGGGGCAGTAAGGGTTAAATAACTGACCAATAACACCAAACACCGCAGACTCCAAGCTCAAGAGCCATCCCTTGGGCACAGAGCACACAGTCCATGGCAGGAAAGGCTGTGGTGACCCAGTGTGTGGCTGAGTGCCAGAGAGGTAGTGGTCAAGCTCCTTTGGTGACCCCTGATCCACTCCCGTCATGGAATTAGTGAGGGTCTTCCTTGTATTACTTCCTGGGTCACTTACCACATAGTAGCCCCTTTGGAATGTACAAGAGGAGGTATCACCAGAATCTCTTAGACATGTGGTTTCCTGAACACTGAACTCCAAGTTCATGACCAAGGTGTCTTCATCCAGGACATTGACCTTCACAAAATCAAAGCATGGGTTTGCAATAGACATGTTGCTGAGATTCATGGTGCTGGCATGATTCTTGCTGCCCAATGAGAAAACGTTGGTAGAATCACCTACTCACTGGGAAAGCTATGTGTTGTCATAGCAGCATCCATGCAGCCGGCATGCAGACGGCACTCACACGGAAGCCCATAGAGAAAAGCCATGCAAAGTCGCCAACCATGAAACCAAAGAAGCTGAGTGTGGGTGGGCACCCCTTGAATCCCAGCACTCAGAAGGGCTGAGGCAGGAGGCCAACCTAGTCTATATATAGAGAGATCTTATCCCAGAACAGTAGTAAATGGAATGGAGGGAAGAAAGGAAAGAGAAAAGGAGGAAGGGAGGGAGGGAGGGAGGAAGGGATAGAGGGAGG